TCCACACTCCTTCAGCACACTTTTATAACTTCAAAGCCTCTACGCTGTTATTAGCGGCCTTAGAAAAACAGAAGCTGGTCTATATTTTAAACAGAGATAGTTCGGCCAGGTATCTTTTTCTTAGTAAATTATATCCGTAATTAATCGCCAATAGATTAACAATTTCTTCTCCGTTGGAAGCCCATAAGTCTAAGACTCTTGTATATGATATTGCCGCTTTGGACAACGTACTTATCAAGTTTATTTTAAAAAGTTTACTTATAAGCGCGACTTAGGGCTACGAAAATCCGTTGTTTGCTTGCCTCGAGCTCGACTATTCGGAGATCGATGAGGATCCCACGGGCACCCATCTGGCTGAGGTCAAGCAGGTATACTAGCCGACCCCCTATTAGCAGGTTTGTGGATTCACTTCATTTCTGTGTAGTGTGTTGTTTTGTATGAGTTGGATCTTGGCCTTAACCACGTGGTTCGTAAGCAGAGTGAGGAGCTAGAAAATCTCTGTTACAAGATCATCTCTGTGCCGGCAGGTCCCTGCCGCCCTCTGCTTCACGAATGTTGATATTAAAATTTTTATCTGCCAGGCAAGGATACACCTGGTGGAATGTTGCTTTGTTCAGAGAATTACATCACTTATAAGAATATTGGTTTTTCCTTCTTGGTATGCTCTCCCTCGACCTGTTTGACATTCCTCAGGTGAGCAAGAGGACGTGCGTATTCCCATACCCCGTCGAAAGTCCTGCACCCGCGAAAGTGTTATGATTGTGGCTGCGGCAACACACAAAACAAAGGTTGCATTTAGTTGTAGTTTTTTGCCTTCTCTTTCATCTTTCTTATTTTGATTATAGTCTTTGACTTTTTTTTTGCTTCAAACGGAACAAGGAGACGTCTTTAAGTTGACTCTGGATTGTAGCGCGGAGGATGAGGCTCGCTTTCTATTTTTTTCTTCTCTTTTGCCTGTTCACATGCTCTCTCAGATTATCACAGTGGTCGGCTTGAGAATCAAGTACATTGATACGCTTCTGCCCGCTGTGAGCATGTGTATATTGAAAGCTGGCTTTCTCTTTGTGACCAGCGAGTTTGGCGACCAGTCTCTATTTTTTCTACTCCGTTGACGTTGCTGTTTATAACTTTATCTCTCTCTGCCTAGTCACTTGTACAGGATCGCTTATCTTGGACAGGATGAAGACCAAGAATACTCCTCTTCTGATGAATATGTAGCAATTGGTTTAACTTATAACGTTTTGCGTGTTTTCAAAATTTTCATTGGCTAGTTATCAATATTTGAACCACGTGAGTTGAAGAATCTTGTTGTAGTGGATACCATGGAAAGTTTAAGTCCCATTACAGATTGCAAGGTTTTTTGACTTATAGATGCTTGCGAGCCTCGGTGTACTTTTGATTGTCCGCCTTATAGATCACTCAGCTGACGGATGATGACACGCCGCAGTTTTATATGCTTTCTGGAAGAGGTTTATTGGTCTTTTCATTACTTTTGTGGGTTGCTAACCTTGCAGTATGTCAGGTGGTCAATCCTCATTCCGTGTTCTGAGGCACGGACTTGAGGTAACCGAAATGGCCGTATCTGAGCTTCCTGGGAGTCCTCTGGCTGTGTGGACCGTCAAAACGCACGACTCCGATCCATATCACAGTTATATAGTAGTAGCCTTTATTAACGCCACCCTTGTGCTTTCCATTGGTGAAACCGTCGAAGAAGTACAACTATTGACTACTTACTGTAATTATTCGCTCTTTTATTGCTCAACTGTTTTTTACAGGTCAGCGACAGCGGTTTTCTTGGAGTGGTTTCCACGTTGAGCGCCTCGTCCATTGGTGAGGACGCTCTTCTTCAGGTTATTATTATATGTTTATAATTTTTTTACGCTTACTTTGGACATGCCTCGGCAGGTGTACCCAAGCGGCATTCGCCACATTCGTGCTGATAAGCGCATCAATGAGTGGAAGGCCCCGGCGCCCGCCCTCATTGTTAACTGCGTACAATATATATTATGTGCGGTTGACTTCCACTTGCCAAATAATACCCTTTCCTGCTGGCTCTGCCTTCGGTAGTTTGCTAATAGTCGACAGGTTGCTGTCGCTTTAACCGGCAATGACATTGTGTATTTTGAGTTGGATGCTTTTGGACAGCTCAATGAATGTAGGTCATTTATACGCAGCCCTTTAGGCTCTCCCACTACTGCATTTTTTATTGCATTAAGTTAATGATCGGCTCTCCATGTCCGGAAAGATCACATGTTTAGCCATAGGTCCCGTCCCTGATGGTCGTCAGCGTTGCAGGTAAGCCTCTTTCTGTGACACACCAAGTGGGTCTGCTAAGGCGCAGTTTCCCTGTTCTAGGTTTATGGCGGTCGGTTTAGACGATAACACGATTCGAGTCATCTCTCTCGATCCGGAGGACTGCCTGCAGACGCTAAGCATGCAGGCTCTTCCTTCACAGGCCTCGTCTTTGGCGATTGTTCGGATGGACGGTTCTGGCGTGTTGGAAGGCGCACTCTACTTGTTCTTAACTCATCGCTCTGTATTCTATAGTAGTCTCTCTCATATACTGTGTTTGAATTATTAGGTACATTGGCCTCCAGAACGGCGTTATGCTGCGCACTGTCATCGATCCTGTGGCTGGTGTTCTTGAGGACACGAGGACGCGATACTTGGGTTTCATCCTTCCCATGCTATATGAGGGTCCCTTTTAGACCACGTTGGGTTTAGGGTCCCTGCCTGTAAAATTACATCGAATGAACGTTCAAGGTTTCCTTTTTTGCGGTGCTCTTGATACGTTTATGGTGACCGTTTGTAGGGGCCGAAGCTGTTATTGCGCTTTCAAGCCGTTCTTGGTTATCTTATTCACACCAGGGAAGGGTTCTCCTGACGCCCCTTTCGTACGATCCACTCTCGTATGCTGCTATGTTTTCCTCGGAGTACTGTCCTGAAGGTTTTTATTTATTTATTTATTTATACCTAGTTTACTTTTTTTTAGGGGTGGTTGCGATTGCCAAATCCTCTCTCCGCATTGTGGCCACCGAAAAACTCGGCGTTTCTTTTAATCAAACGTCGGTTCCTTTGAATTACACGTTAAGTTCCATCTCTACCTTCTTTTTTGTTATATAATAATACCATCTAACCTGTGCAGCCCCCGCAAATTTACTATCCATCCGCAAACCAACTTAATGCTTATATTGGAGGCAGAGTCCCGCTGCGCTGACAGTGGCCACTCAACTGAGTCCTTTTTTTTTAATAAGTATAAATTCATTTTTACTTCTCTTTTTGGTCCACAGAAGAACTGCTGCTACAGATGGCGCACGCATTTGGTGCTCATGTATTTGTGTTCTTGATCCGTCGTCGGTAGAGCTTTGTTTCAAATCCTTGTGGTGTCTGTCTGTCACTCTTTTCTAAATATACAGAACGAGGTTATTGACGTTTACTCTTTACCCAACAACGAGTGCCCCACCAGCATTACTGCTTGCTCTTTCTTTGCGAGAGGTTGAAGATTTTTGCTTCTGTCTATCCGCAGAAAAATCATTACTTGTTCCTTAGGGGATGAAGTCTTTGTCGTCGTCGGCGTCGGCGTGAATATGGGTTTGAGGTTGGCCTAGTACTTGCTAGTGCTATTTATTTAATTCTTTTTTTATATCTGTCTGTAGCCCTTTACAGTGTTCCGCGGGAGCTATCTATGTTTTCCGTATGGTTGAGGGTGGCAGGAAGCTTGACTTAGTCCATAAAGTGTCTTGTATTTCTCCTTGCTTTATGATCTTCTCTGAAATCTTTACTTTCAGACGGAAGTCGAGAGCCCCGTCGGCTCATTATGCGCATTTCAGGGACGCATGCTGGCGGGTGTAGGTCGCTCCCTCAGAATATACGATGTTGGCAAAAGAAAATTGCTTAAAAAGTGTGAGAACAAGGTCATCTTAGTTATATACTGGTTCTCGTGTTCTCCGGCCCGAACCACTTTTATTAGAACTTACCAAACTATATTGTCCACCTTATGTCTCTTGGCAACCGCATTTATGCAGGAGATATACAAGAAAGGTGCCCTATTGCGCCCCGGTCTCCCCCCTTTTTTTAAACTCTTCTTCTTGCAGTTATCACTTTGTCAAGTACAACGGCGACCAGAACAGACTGGTCATCTACGCTGACGACGTTGTTCCCCGTTGGGTCGTTGCTGGATGCCTCCTGGACTACCACACTGTTGCTGGCGCGGATAAGTTTGGCAACATATTTATACTGCGCCTTCCGGCAAATGCCACGGATGACATAGATGACGATCCCTCTGGTATAGCAGCCTTCCCTTTTCTGGTCCTCTTTTGGTATTGTTATTTTGTAGGAGCCAAGGTCGTATGGCAGCGCGGGCTGCTTAGTGGCGCTCCGCAGAAGTTGGAGTGTCTTGTAAACTACCACGTAGGGGAGTTAGTCGTTTCCCTACAGAAGGTAATAAGAAGGGTTTTGCTTTATATGGTTTTTTCACACGTGGTATCTGCAGGTTACCCTCGTTGCCGGCGGTGGGGAATGCCTTATATACACCACAATTAGAGGGACCATTGGTCTATATTTTAATTTTTTATTCTGTTAGCCACTTCCGACCCTTTGTAGGTGTTCTAGCGCCTTTTACCACGAGAGAAGACGTGGACTTCTTTCAGATTTTGGAGATGCATATGCAACACAAGTACCCACCGCTTTGCGGGCGAGACCATCTCTCTTACCGTTCTTTTTACTTTCCACGGAAGGTAGACGAGCTTAATTTATTTATATTAACTCCCGCTTATTCCTGTAGAACGTTGTTGATGGAGACTTAACCGAGCAGTTCAACATCCTCCCTTCCGGGACCAAAGAGGAAATAGCCAGTGAAACTACCCGAACGGCAGTCGAAGTCTCAAAGAAGCTTGAAGATATGCGCGCGCGGTTCGCCTTCTAATAGATGTTTGGTTGTGTGAGATAAAGAAGCCTTCTTGACTTTAAAGCGGGCCAACCATGCTAAAACGAGCTGCGCTATATCCTCGCTTAATAAAAACGAATGAATGGTTTAGGCTACGGTCACTTTATTTATTAAGGGCTAGTATGGGCTATTGACCACTGACAGACGCTTCTTCGTCGGCGTTTTAAACTCTTCTCGAGAAGCTGGATGGTAGGTTAGGGCCAAACCTCTGGACTGGGTCCATTAGCAAGCAAGCAATAGAAAGAGACCAATGCCTATGTCCCGCTGCGTGGCCACGACGACGTGCCGGTCATTTTGGGGGGTAAACTGGTCCGAAACCACTACGTCGTTGAACTACAAAGAAGCACGTAAAGTTCACTTACGTGCTGCAGTGTAAAACGCACACCTTTTTTATGACGTAATTTGTAATCTTGCGTCTCTGGACATCCTGGAAGTCCCACTGTATGGCGAAGTGGCCCGTGCTTGCACGCAGCGCATACCGCGATATTCGTAACAAGTCAAGTTATAGATGCGCATGCCTCACCTCGCAACGATGAAGCGCTCACCCTTTTCATTTAAGTCGAAACAAGCGCGCGTGAACTTCAGCTTTTGAGGCCCATTTAGATTAGTTAAAAAAGATGAGCTCCGTCTACTCCACTTTACAATAAAAGAAACAGCGCACCTTTTCGTTCATAAGGGCCACATGTTTTGCTTGAATGGTTAGTTTGATGGGAGTGGGCTACTCGCAAGAGTGAGTCGAGGGAAAGATCAGCTAAAAGGGTACAGAGAAAACTTTATGAGAGCCCATCGGAGTAACAAAACCCAGCGACTCTTTAGCGTTCTTTGCAAAGAAAGTGGACACCACTAGCAAGTACTGCTCGCAAGTTGCCAGGATCCATTTGCCATCCGTCGTAACGTCGATCCCGATGATTGGGTCTGGGGTCAATCAGACGGCTCCGCACAAAGCCACAGTAAAGGGTAAAACTAACCTCCAAGCCCAGGAAGCGCCGTTTTTGCCCTCTTGTCGTACTTGCCCTTCCCGGTGAACAATTTTATTTCACCTTTGTCCGTTCCCACCACCAGATAGCCGTCCCGAGTCGTGGCGCCGCAGGTCAGCTGAGTCGAACCCGTGTATTGCGTCCTATGACCGAGGTTGGAAGAGAGGAACTCTTGAACACCGATCGCCAAACTACTTACATTTCTTTATCTGGTATCCGGCAGTCTGGTGCGCGAGGATCCACGTGGTAGATGCGCGACCTTCCCAGTCCAATAAACGTTTCGCTGGCGTGGTCCTAGTAGCGAAGTACAGTCAACTATTATAGGAAAGGAGCTCTCCGCCTTGCCTTCTTGGCTGTGGGGATGAGATCCACCGTCTGAAAGTAGTCTTCCGGTTGAGGTTCGATAATGTTATGGTGGTATGGTGTCTACAAGCGCCGTAGAGAGAGCAACAAGTAACCAATAACAGTGCTATGTACGTACATATTCATCCACGACTTTGCCATACTCGATGTCCATTTTATGAATTCGACTCGGATCATCCTGATTCAGTATTAGGAAGGCCCGATCGTTGTGATGAAGCATTAACTACAAAAGAAGAAGCCTGACCGACGGAAATTGTTGAAGAAGCAATACCAGTACCTTCTGAGGCGTCAGGACACTACCAGACTTATCCCGGATGTCCGCATACTGCCCGTAGTACGCCAGGTTCGCATCATCGCTGTCGAGTGACGAGAAGATGGCAATCTCATTCCCGCGGGAGACGAAGGCGCGATCGTAGACGTTTCTCCTGTGAGTAGACGCCAGTGGCAACCTCAGGAAAGCAAGCAGAGGCACATACGAGACTACAAGGTGCATGTTCTTCTTGTGAGGCGAGCAGAGCCCGTACTTGGAGGGGGTGGCGCTTGCGCGGAAGCCCGCAGAATCGTCGTCGGACTCGTCACTGCTAGGGGGCGTGTTGGCAGGGTCATCCACTTCCATTTTTAAAAAGGAGGTCAAGTAAGCCGTATCTCCGTTCTGCACGGAAAAAGCGGCGGCTACAAAGGGGCGTACTTCTTTCCACATAAGCAACCGACCTTCACAAAGCGATCATATTCTTGTTGAAAGTTGTATTCGTATACAAACTTAGTCAACAGTTTGTTACAGCAGTCAAAGCCCTCCTCATCGACAAACTGGAAACTCCAAAAGGAGATCTGCCCTTTTTCATGAATAAATATGAGCTTATTAGACAGTAAACTTAAGGGCTAGGTACCTCCCATGAAAGAGTTCCAGCCAATGGTCTTTGAGCCCTATATTTGCTTATAACTTTAAAATAAGTTAAAAAAACCAAAGAAGGTATTTACTCTGTTAGTACAAAGATTTAAAGCTGATGTGCACAACTCTGAGCAAATTATTTTGTCATCTTTTATAATTTGTAAGAGGGTTGCAACTTAAGGAAAGTATTAATAAATTAAACTTTCGCAGCTGAAAAAAAATAGAGCAAAACTTTAATACAATCTTGTTCCTTAGATTTTTTAAAGGAAAAAGTGGCTTTCTGTGCAAGCAAACAGTTGAGCTCTTCCACAAGATCCCATTTATATAAATCACCAGAGGTTCGATTATAACTCTGTTAGCTTTTTTAGGTTTATACGCATAATAAAAGAGGGTATAGCTTTAACGACATCAAAGATGGAAGTAGAACTCTGCTCCCGCAAAGAAATATTTGCCACTATATGATTTGAAGTTGCGTTAGGTGGGTGCTGTTGCAAATCCCGCCTTACATTAAAAACGGAGTAATTTATAAGTTATAATATTAAAGAAGACGCAAGGACTCTAGAAGGGACATCTCGAATCCTTTGGCCTCGGATCCTGGTTTTTGATATTCGTACTCAAATATTCGATAAAGAATACTTTTTACGAAGTAGGGCACTCTCTCTAGTTCAGTATCGTCAACTAAAAATTTAAATTCATCCTAAAAAATAAGTAAGTACTTGTTAGCTAAAATAGCTTATTGCGCTAAGGCCTAAGTATAAGCGTACAGCCCCGTCCATCCACTGAAAAAAGTTGCTTTTATTTTCCAACTCAAAACATTGAAATTTCAAACTTTTTCTCAGAAAAAAAGATTTTAGTAACTCTATAAAGTACACAAATAAAAATTGTGAGCAAAAATGGCCTGTCACAAAACAAATATATATGTTACTAACTCCCTCCCTCTTTTAAAACTAGTTCATGTTTATAAGGAACAGAAAAAGAATTTAAAAAAAGAATGCCATTTTCACTTCTATAATAGTATTATAGCTGAAAGCTCTTTTTTAAAGGTCAGATTATTTATAACTTACAGCAATTTGTTGTTAAGATAAATTTTTCCTTTAATTATCTCTTCAGATGCGCCAAAAAGATACTATTTAAACACAAAGAGCACGAGCTTAATATATGTAATTAAGAGAAATTTATAACTTTTTAAAAAAGACTAAATAAAACGTGTTAATCTAAAAGTTATAAACGAATCTCTCTTTTTTTTAAATTAATGTCAGAAAAAGATGAAACGTATACATTAGAGACGGTGGACTTAAGCCAAGACATAGCCATATGGAGCCAACCACAAATATGTAATGAAAGAAAAGTGAATTCGCTTAATTTGTTAAAATTTGACACCTAATAAATGTTCTTCAGCCTCCTTAAGAATGGTGTTTACTTTTTAGCGTGCTGGGAAACCTATCTAGTCGCATTGCATGGCACATTCTATTAGAATCTATAAAAACAAAAATAAAAGTAATCGTTGACCTAAAACGACAATTCTTAATTCCATTGTAACAGATTCACTTACTAACCCTGTTGATACCTAAAAAAATAATTTCTTCCCCCTTAAGATAAGCGCCCATTTTAACCGTGGTGAAAAATAGAACACAAATGTCCAATGTATGAACCCCTAATCTTCCTTCTCACGAGGCGTGTCCCTGTCAATTTGTGTCGTGTCCCCCAATTATGCGTAATTTATATTTTTACACTCATTATTTAAAAACTTTTAAAAACATTGACCAGCTTTAAATGGGGATTTCTTGAAATAAATATGCAAAATCATTCAATACAGCCTGAATATCATGATACGGGTAAAAATTTATAGAAAGAACCCTATCCTACATTTTTTAACACTTGCATTAATTTTAATTAATCTTTTGAAACTTGGTATTTTTTAGTATTCCATTAAACAATGTAAATTAATATAATTAATATTTTTAAACTTTTCTTTAAGGTTAGGGTTAAGGTTATCTTTTACCATAGAAATAGCCGTATGTTATTGTTTAGCAGACCAATGAACCCCAGCAACTTGCTACTGCAGTCAGATTTTCTAACTTTTATTCTTAACTTTAAACCGGAAGCAAGAAAATTTAAGCTTGCGGTTCGCTATAAATGGGATTAGATTAGGAGCAAGGTTGGGGTTACAATAACTTTACAATGCGTTGAAATAAAGGCGCTCTACTTTACAAAGAAGTACATTATGCTGATTTTACTTTTTCTTTAAAAGTATTTGGGATTATAATCGACAACAAATTGGCCTTAGCGACAATACAATTATGTTGAGACGATATGAAAGCGACGAAAGTGTTTAACACGAAACCGCAACTATGCACAAAACCTACACACGTAATATAGCGCAGGCCCTCTTAAAAAGATCATTTGGTGACAAACTAATTAACAATAGTATAAACTAAAAATTTCTAAACATTTTGGCATAATATAATTTAACCAATATATTATAATATAGAAATATGGTAATAACCGGGTTTAACACGTTATATATGAAACCAATATTAAAATTAAATTCTAATGTTTATTGTTGTGGTAAATTGCTAATTTCAGGTCTTCTAAGTAACCCTTAAGGTTGTATGTCTATTTTATCGATTTAGTTTCTTTTGGAGTATTGACTTTTGTTTTAAACGATTGTTAAGTCCTGGAGACGAGACAAAGGCTAATGCAACAAGAGAAAGGAGTGCAAAATCAAGGAATGTTCCTTGTTTTATTAATGTTTCTAAACATATGTATGACCCTCTAGTGCATTAATAATAAATACTATAGATTAATTGCGTATTTCCTTGGCACTTATGGCCTTCTGATTAAAAAAAATACATCGTTACATTTTGCTCGCGATTTGGTCCCTTATAACTGGTTGCTTATATTTAATGTATACTGAAATAAAAAAGATTTTTTTCTTCTATATAATGTGTATAGCATGCATGTTCTAACGAAAGTAAGAGGCGCGCGAGGGGTAAGGGCAGATGCAATCCTGCTAGTATATCAACAGTAATATAAAGAGAGGATCCTACAGGTGTGTCTCCAAATAGTTCTGTCACTAGAATCTTGTATGACCAAGCCACAGTGAAACCAGAAGTATAACACGACCTAGTTTTTTCTTGTCTTCTTTTTTTAAACTTTGTTACAGTGCGATAAGAGAAAAATGTTCCTGTAAGTAGGCGACATCCCTAATATGGTAGTGCTTCATGTAAGGCTCCAAATAAGTTACAACTTAACACTATTTTCGAAAGCAATGGTACCCCTCAGGATGACCTAACCTATCGTTCAACTCTGTTGAGGAAAAGATCCCAGTTCAAGTTTTAAAGCAAATTAATTTTTTGGGCAATTTTAATGATTATTATTTAGATTATTTGCTTAGCTGTTAGTATATAATGAAGGTACACGAAAAACAAACGGCAGTCGTTTTAATTTTTTTTTCAGTGCTTTTTTTTTGTTTTAGTCTAATCTGTAGGTCTCTGTATATATGTACATTATTTTCAAAATTAATTTTAAAGGCCTTAAAGGTTTAGATACCGGTCAGTAAAGGTTTAAGTACCCTAACAAACTCGAAAACTTCTTTGTTGCTGCCGTTAGTGGGAATCTAATAGTTGACCGCATCTGCGCGCAAGAACGTACATATATAGGCGCGCGTTACCGCCCGCCTACACTGTGTGCTAAAAACCCCTTATGTACGTTATAAAGGAAAACACGCATACATATACTTATATACAACGTAAATACTTTGTACTCGTAAGGAAAATATAAACTACTTTGACCAACAACATAGATTAGGCGGCCTATGTTTGGGGCAAAGAAGGATCTGAAGCCGTTGATAATGATAATAAAAAGAAACAAGTTTTTTAATATATTTATATTAGTATTTCGTAAAGCAAAAATGTATATAACCAAGATAAATATAGGAGACCATCCATGATTACAGCATTGAAAGGCCTTGCATTAGTCAAATTTAGTGGTTTTTAAAAAACTTTAGCGTGGCTAATCAAATTGAGATGTAATGACTTGTAATGCTGTATAAACTAAAGAAGTATATAGCGTGTTCGGATAGTTAGGCCACAATGGAGAGATTAATGTCGTCTATTTTTGTCTCTTGCCTTTTTTACTTTGTTTTGTAAAAATTTTATATATTTAATACTTTCCAGAATTGTTATGCACTCGCCACAGAAAAACTCCGGTTTATACAGGTATTTAACTATAAAAATTACTTAGTTTCCTCTGGTATTTTTATCAAATTATTATTCTGTTGTTCTAAAATGTTGTCCGCATTTCTTATAGGTATAAAATAATAGTTATTTTTAAGAGAATCTGGTGTGTTCTTCAGGCTTCGTTGGTTTGCTGCTTCGAGATATTGGAGAACCAATTTCCAGAATTTGTATCTTACCTTTCTTATTGGATAAATAAGTTGACCTACCCTATAGGGAGGAAAGTTTCTAAAGACAAAAGTTTCTGTTATTGTAAGTATATAAACAGCTTGGTATAAACTATTTTAGTTGGTTCCCATTGAGTTATAGATTTTCTTTTTGATAAATCTTCTGTGCCTGTTTTGGCCTCCAAGGCCTCCATATATAAGTGAACGGAAAAAATCTTTAATTTTTAGATTTGGATGAAACTCGTTGTACACTCTACACCTAAGGTAAAACATCTAGCTAGCTTATATCACTAATATATATGCTTTTAAAGCGTTCTGATGACCGTTATGACCTAATAATTGTTTGTAGAGCAGCTTTATGTTTATAAAAGGCCTTATTTGAATAAATATTTATCATTAGTAGCTCGATGGTAAAGCTTAAGTAGCGATATTACTTTTTTTCAAGAGTTTAAATTGGTTGCTTTATTACCAGAATTTAGGTACCATGTGTTTGTATTTACAGCAAGCGTGAAAGAGTACGGCAACCCCGTCATCGACGCTTTAGACAGTAGAAAGGGCGCTACGTGAAAGTTCCTTTTTTCAGATTTGTTATATATAGGTTTACACAAATTGAAACTTAAGAGATTCATGTGGTCCGAAATTTACGAAAAACATCAGTCTGGTTGATCCGGTATCAAGTTAATCTATAAATAATTTGAAGCAATTTTCGTATTTTTTTTTAAATTTAAATATAGGATATGTAGCTATAGTTGATAATTCGCCGTTAGCTTATGCAGAGACCTTTGAAAACGCCATTCCTATAAGCGATTGGTTCAGCGATCCAAAAGGTAAGCAGCTTCTGTGCTTAATACCTTTTTTAAAAATCTTGTGCTCTGTGAGAGATGTTCGCCTGGTACTTAAATGGAAAAAGGAATTTAAAAAAAAATGGAAAAATAATTTTTACACACATGTTTTGCGGACTTGTCATTTTAAAACTTCAATTTTTACTTTGTTATAAAAATCTGTAAGGCTGGAAGCGTCTAGTTCTTTTAATTTTTTTAAAGTTTCGAGGTATAACTCCAGCTGCGGGTTAAGGTCAAGATTAAAAGTTGCAGAGTAGTCCTTTAGATCCCGCCATCGCAAGGTGATAGGGATGTCCCAAAGAATCATTTCACTCAAAAGTTCTACAAAAAGTATACTTGCATGATTGTTGGTTTTTGAGCTTTGAGAGGAAATCAGCAGTAAAAATAGCCAAGTCTTTTCGCCAAAACTTAGTTTCATGGCTTCTTGTTCGACTTGCTCGTTAAAATAGATAATTTTTTTTCTGACGTCAAGCACTGCAGAAAAGTCGCCCTTGTTAGCAAAAACAAGTAAACATTCCTCAGCACATTTTTGCATATTGTAAAAGGCAGGTTTTTCATAAAAACTGTTCCTTAAAGCAGAAGAACTATTTTCGTCTTTTAGGCAGTTGGTGACTTTGAGCCATTTTTGTATGTTTTCTTTCAATAACGCATAATCCTTCCACTTCTTAGAGAACTCATGCTTCAAATAGAATAACTCGGCGTTTGGTATAAGCTCCCTGCGCTGGAATTCAGAAGCTAAGGCAACAAAGTTCGCAGGATTTTCCAATTCTATTTTAAAAAATAAAAGGTAAATTTTTTCTTTGTAAAAGTTTACTTCTTTCGTTTTTCTAAACTTCTTGGCTTCCTCCACTTTAAACCCTGAGCTGTCTTCAACAAAGCTCTTAGAGTATGGAAACTTAAACCAGTAACTAATATTATTTGCTTTTTTTTGGGTAGAAGATTCATTTAACTTAACACTATCATTAAATAATTTTAACTTTCCCCAATTTTTCTTGTTCACAAAGTGAGGCTGGTGGATTTGTAACTTTATATCTCTCTGAAAACTTGGGAAGTGGTTTAGTTCATTTAAATAATAGTATGCCAACCTCTTGTTGTTATAAACTTTTAAAAACGAATATATTCCGTAAAAATAAAGTTTTGCGCTATATTTAGGACAATATTCGAAGTAATAGCTAGTGTTGAAGATTTCACGGGCAATATTAAAAAATTCAAGGGCCTGTGCGTACTTATTATTAATAACACAGATTTCGGTTATTATGGAATAGGTCTTAAAAGTGGGGCGGTGACCAAGAAATTTTAGACTTTTAAATAATTTTAAACTAACTTCAAAATCAATTTTGGAAGCTTCGGCGAGTAATAACTCGTACCGATATAAAGGCAATAAATTATTGTAGGGGAAAAAGGATTGCCGTAGGCAATTAAGCTGCCAATTATCCTCGTGTAATTTAAGTTCATTCACATCTTTATTATTCGTTACTAACATAACATTACTCATCTGAGAATCTTCTTCAGTTATACTTTCTTCTTTTAAAGAATCTTTAACGCTTTTAAAAAAAAATTTATCTTCCAGCAATTCCTTCAATGAGCTGGGAACCTTAAATTTTTCAAAAGTTATGGAATGCTTCATTTTTTTGTCTTGTAAATGTTTATATACGCTCTCAATATTAAATTGTTTGTTAATGCTAAGTACAGCCCAATATCGGGCTAATTTAAGTCCATAAAAACCTCTAAAAAAAAAAAAAATTTTTAAAAAACGTAATAATGGCATGTCAGAAATTCATTTAACAACCAGAGCATTAAATTAATACACAACGCACGCTCCCCGAAAGGATTAGTAAGACTACAATCGCCCTTGCAAGTAGAGTCTAGAATATTAATGCCATACTTATGAGTTTTTGCATGTGACCGCTAGAAAAAACTACCCACCCTGTGCTAGTGATACAACTATTTGGGGTCTATAGGAAGCTACTTTTCTTACTTACTAATACATCAGTAAAAAAATTATAAGTTAAAGGACAGCACTAAATTAATTCAATTTAAAACAGAGCTTAGTATTATTAGTTAGCATGAAAGACTGATTACTGTAAGGTTAAGTTTAATGTCATTTATGCATAATCATATTTGACTCAAATGCTGGGAATGTCAGACGCAGCTTATAAAGGTAAATAATTCGTTCTCTATACCTTATACTTAGCTGTTTAATTTTCTAAAATGCTAAGGTAACAACCACATAAAAATAAAAGAATTATATAAGGCTAACAATAACAAATTGTCTCATTAATAACAATTTTAATAGGAGAAAGGAGACGCCCTATATAGGATGCGAGTATTTCCGATAAAGGGCACACAGTTTAGATATATTGCTACAATGAGAGTGATGCAATTAAGGACTTGCGGCGGTTTATAGTCAAACTTCAGGTTTGTTTATCTTGTAGTTTTAAATAACAATTGGTTTCATATAAAAGTTTTTTAATAGAATTTATCGCAGTACGTTTTAAGTTATTCGCCTATAATTACTAAATATACTATTGATAACCTATCTGTATTATATTTTTAATTGTGTTATCTAAATTTATAGTTCCAACGAAATTAGTTATCATCCTGCATCTTATGGTTTTTTAATAATGTTTTGGGAAAAGGTTGATCCTTTGCTGAAGAATTTTACACAGTTGAGATCCCGGGATTTAGGCTTATTGACCGTATTATGCCCTGGGTTTAACTAGAATTATTTCTTTTTTGGTCGTGCTAGAACTAACTACTCAGGACTAGATACAAGAAGCTTTGACAAGAGCACCAAACTATTAGAAACGACTTTTCCTAGTGCTCAGTCAATCATAAACAATAAGTTCTCGAGCAACTAATCACTTTTAACCACCTATAAGCACAAATAAAGTTTACATTTATAATACATTACCGTTGCAGGCGACGTGTTAGAAGTCAGATAGCTGAAAGAAAAAGAAGCAGCTATCAACCTTATAGCTACAAATGAATTTAGTAAACAACCTTGTAAAGTATACTTGCAAAATAAAAGGCTACTAAACGCTTCTTTAATGATAAAATAAGCGGTTTACTATTGTTTTCTTGAGCTAAAATATTGTTGTTCCCTAAGAGGAATAGAATTTCAATAGTGAAACAATTTTTTGTAATATGTATTGTTTATAATTTTTTTATGCCTTTCTTAAGGGAATGTTACCGTAATTTTGTTAAATGACAGCTTTATATGAGGGAAATGATTAGTAGTATAGGAGAGGCATGCCCATCTAAATTCATGATAAAATAGAAAAATCCAGTTATTTTAATGCCATAAAATTATTTGTACTTTTTTCATGGTTTTTTTAGGTTGGGGTAGAAGTGTTTATTAATACTCAAAAGTGTTGCCCTTTCCCTTCTATATCGTCGTAACTAAATTATTTAGATTCCTTAAGGCTTACGCTTATAGAAGTTTAAACCAATTCTACCTCAATTGGTGCTGCAAGGTATATTTCCTGTTGAGGATCACCCTTGTCTACTACTTTAACTTATAGAAGCTGTTTGTCGATATCTTTCATAAATAAATTTCTCACTTTGGTTTGTAGGCTATTTCAAGTTAGATGCCCCGAAGGGAAAAACTAAAAAGCAAATTCATTTGCTTCTAACCCCCCTACTTGGATTATGTTCAAAAGGAGAGTGCGGAACACTTTTTGTTTACTCAAACTATCTCTCTATCTGCCTGTGTCTTAGTATACTTCTAAGCAATCTTGTAATATTATTAAACAATGATTAAAAAACCTTAGTTAAAAACTTTGGTAGCTTCTTATAATAAAATCTCTATTGCCGTTCAAAATATAGCATTATTTTGTTAGAACTTAAGTTTCAGCTTTGAAGAATTTTTCGAATAGTTTTGGATAACTTTTACACAATAAATCACTTGTACTAACCGGTGGTTTGTTAAAATACCCACAACTTTTTGAAGAATTTCCTATAATAAGTCTAGAGGGAGGAAAGGATAGTATTATATTTACTCGTAAATTTGACGTTTTGCACTAGTCTGCATTCTATAAGAAGCTGGTGGTAAATAAATATATATAAATTCTTATGGTATTCGAGCAGTCAACTATAACAAATAAGTCTTAGTTTTTCTTAGCCTTGGTAGTATTAAACAGAATTTATTAGTGGGTGCAAACCAAGTTTTTAATTTTTCAATTCGAAAACAGAAAATTTTTTTTTCCAGCAAGAAGGCATACAAAGGAAGTAAGCACTTAACCGCAAACTACACACCTTGCCTTCACACGGCGTTTTTCCCGTGTGTGAGAATAGAGCTAAAGGTAATAAAAGTTAATAACCCTTTTCAGTTGTGATGTAATAGAAATTTGTAAAAGCGAAGTTAAACACAACCGTTTCAGACCAATAAAGATAGCTTCCTTAAAGGAACCGAAACAACGCTCTTAACCCCTGGGTTGCTGAATTTTTCTTTACTACGACTTTCTGTCGTGCCTTCCTTTAAGCCTTTACTACAACTAATAAAATAACTGCGCACTTTATTTATATTCCGCAAAATTTGAGACACGCCTTGCAGAGAAGTCGTGAAAGTCGCTTTAATAAACTTAATTCTATCCGACAATAACGTCAAGGAGCAGTTTTAGATCAAATAAATTTTCTTAGATAACTGGTAAAAATATTTATTTTTCATTTAAATGTAATATACAAAGTGAAAGGCCACGCATTAACTACTGCTAGGTAGGTGGTTCACCGTCACTCCTATGCTTTTCCCTCCGTAATCTTCTTTCCATCGCCTTTCTTTTGGCGACCTCCACGACAGAGTCAACTGTTTTTCTTTTAAACTGACCAACAGCTTTTTGACAAACTTCATCCTTTTTAGCTACATAACTAATTTCGTTCAAAAAAGAGTTTTCTCGAAAAGCATAATCGTTCTTCTCTAAGACTTCTTTGTTTACGTTAATCTCTTCGGACATAGTGGGAGAACCTATGGCTAAAGCGCTCGAGCTCGAAAAAATTTTCCCTTCAAGATCCTCTTTTAACTTACTGGTAGGATCTATATAAAACGTACTTCGCAAAAGGAAAATAAAGTCAAAAGTAGACTAGGACAGGAACCTTCAAAATCGAAACTGTTATTTAGTAAGCTAGCATAAAAAGCGCTAAGATCACTCTTTCGCGAAACGTTTTGAGCTTCTAAGACTAAGTTAGGACAGCATACATAAATAAAAAGATAAAAAAAATAATGAACCCTCTAAAGCTTCTTTCTGTTTTTCAAGTTCTTCTGCCAGCTGTCTTTCGGCAAGTTTCTTCTTATAGCTTTTCAGTAAATTAGTCAGGAAGTAATTGTAAAAGAAGTAAATTTGTATTATCAGATAAAGTATAAATATTTTAGCAAAAGCTGAAAATAACCACGAGTGTTTACCTTGCAGTTACAATAACTTCTTTTCCAACAAACTCCTCTTTTTCCTGTATTCTTTTTTTATGTTCTTGGCGGTCAATTCTTCTTTCATTTTCTAACTTTCTTAAATGTGCGCCTTTTAATAGAGCTTCATAATATTTTGGCTGCTAAACCAAGTAGACGAAAGTAGTAAAAAAAATTAGAAATCAATTAGTTACTTTTCTATTTAAAGTACTGGCGTCAAATATCTTATTGGCGCTTGAAATTTTTTCGTAAACGGCGTCATACTCAAATATAGAGGCATCTTCTTCCAAAGCTTTGCGAAGCGCAACATCATCCTTTACCCAAAAAAAGTTATAAAAAAAATAAAAAGTAAACTTAATTTTTTTTATAATACCCCTTTCAAAACTCTAGGTTGCCTAAGCTCGTAATTGACTTTACTTTTAACTTCAGTTTCTTCCTTAGTGTAAATATACGTTAATTTAACGAATAAAAATAATAAGTTTAAAACCTCTTCACTGCTCCCTTCAAAGATTGAGGTGTTTCCAGCATTGTTTAATAGGGTGTGTACTTTGGATAAGTGGTTCTCATTTTTCTTTGTTGGTCGTAAAACAAGTCCAAATTTTTTAGGTTTAAAAGGGTTCATCCGGGTAACCCTGAAGTTTTAAGGACTTGCTTACTGTTTTAAACGCTTTAAGGCGAGCTGATGTTACGAGGATCAAACGGTATTGTAAGTGATAATTTAATAAGTGATTTCCTGTTCCTTTGAGGTGGGCGGTCACTTTTTGGCGTGGAGGGAAATCTAACACACCCGTAAAGAAGGGGCTTAAAGATATGTGAAGTGGACTATTAAAATATAAATAGCTCACACCTATATAGTACCTAAGACCACCGCTTGTTAGGGACAAGGCTCTCTCAGATGTTTGCGAAGAAATTTAATATATGATATGGGTTCTATCTAATTTTTTTAACTAGTTAGTTGAGATAGCTTAAAAGAAAGAATATGCGAAAAGGAAGTAGGAATAAACAGTAGGAAAAAAGACGAAGAAAACTGCCTGACCGGTATATCAAAAATCGGCCAATCTTTCTCGTTTTCTAATTGGTTATTTTAACTCTGCGCGTGGCCTTCAAGTTTAAAAGCCCCTTTAGCAAAACACTTTACAGGAGAGAGGTGAAATGGTGTAGAGTTGCCCCGCACCCTTATACAACAACAGCTTAGGACGAGTGGAGAGTTATATACAGTTATACACAGATATATAAACTATCTAAAGGTAACTCCTAGAAGAATATAATCAATTGTACTGGGAGCTCACAAAACTAGTTAGATCTTTTTTAACAGCCTAAATTTAAAAGGGCTTTTGGTGATTTTAAAATTATCAGATTTCAGCAATATGTTTCTTTTAGTGAACCCTTACGTTAACAAATTATAAGAAACTATAATTCCCTTGAGCTGTCGATTTGCTTGCATTTTCGAATTTGTTAATTTTTCTGGTTTTATCTGTGTAATATAAATAGACCACTTATAAAATATAACTTTAATATAGTAACGTATTAACAATTATTTCAAAGAAGAACACTAACCATCAAAACCCGAAAGTATAAGTTGCATTAACGAAATCAAACCCGAGACATGGGTTTTTGAGCGTCAGTGCCCTAATAACTGAGCTATGTTGGTGACAATTCTACCCCTGGATGATGAATTATGAATACACCTTCTGTCATAAAAAAAATATTTCATAAACTTTATTTCGTTTATCAAATTTTTTAAAAGCATTTACGCTTACTTTATAATTTTATAATACACAGCTTCACCCTTGACTGTTTCTTTTTACCCTCCCCATGTCATGGTTGAGAAACACATTAAATTGTACCTCCACTTCTTTCTTCCATTTGATCATTTACAATTCTTAATCGACTAACAATTTTAACCTGACTTTCTAAGTTAAAGTGTATATTTTCGAACTTTCATTACTAGTTACTAAAGCCTTAACAACAAATAAGTTTGTTGTCGCCATATAATTAGAAGTAAGTAACGGCAAGGTAGCCCTCTGTTAACGATATTCTATAGTAACCTTTTATTATATTTAATCGCCTTGACCACTAAACCGAATTTAATGAATTCCACTTACATAACACCTAAGACAGAATTAGGATAGCCCATCCTTATATCCTGGTCCAACTACTCGGAGTTGCAAAAAAGACTACATTTTCGCTTATTAAAAAAAATTGTAAAAAATATTTAGAACGTTTTTAACAAAATATTTTTTTGTGCGGAAGCTTATGACCCGTGCTTTTATGCGAAATACAAAAGACCAAGAAGTCTTATTAAAAGTATATTATTAGAAAAATAATAACAAACTTGTGTTACAATATTAAGCATTTCCTTTGGAGAAAATGTCCTTACAACTCCCGCTAAGAAAGAAATGTTAATTTAACAGTTATAACTTTATATTCAAGTCCCCATTGTAGTCTACCATTATTAGAAAATTTAAATGTAAACTTTCCTTCCACCTGCTCACTTCTCACAATTACCTGCTTGACCACAAGTCCTACTTAGACCCCCATCTTTCTGTCATTTATGTGTTAAACAGCAACATTTGTATACTAAGCCAGAGAAAATCCTGCTTTTATTTATGTTAATATTATAAAGAAAGAGCAACTAAGGGTAGGATGATAATAAAACAACTCAAGGGATAGCAACCAAAGAAGGAGAACTCTAAATAATTCTTATATTATTGTTATATGCACAATTATATACTAGCCATGACGATACATTACCCCTCTTCCACCCGAGATGGGGTCAACTTATTAGCTACCATGGAAGTACTAACAACGAAATTAGATTTTGCAAACAAAAAGATTTCCGAACTTTAAAGTTAAGTTAACAACTCGAGTTATGCTTTGAGAAAACAAAAGGGCGGTTTTTTAGCTCGTGAAAGCAGTTCACACTTGTAGATGAAGTCGAAGTTCTTATTACTGATAATAAGAACGATATCACTACTAATAGCACAGAACTATAAAAAAAAAGTGACCGTAATAACGAATATAGTAACGGTAAAATAGTAATAGGTATAATACTTTTAACAATAGTGGTGAGGACCATAGTATTAATAATAAAAGTTATACGCCTATTACTAAGGACAATAACAGTAATTGTAACACTTCTAACAATAGTATAAAAGCCATTACCAATGGCAATACTAGTAACACAGCCCCGATAATTAACATTCCCCCCATAGTTATGCGTGGAAAGCATATAAACGGCCGGACCAGCTCCCCTTTTATTAAAAAGTAACATCCACAACTTTACCTCAAGATACCCGAGCATTAAAGTTTCTCTCTCAAGTCCTGGGACTTTGGAAAGTCATAAGACTTCTCATTGAAAGAAATTATAAATTTTACTCCTATTCAACTACCTAAAAGCGAGCACTTAAAGCAGTTTTAAAAGGTATAATATTGCCAGAATTGAGCGAACAAACAGATTAAGGAAATCTAAGACAGCAGGGATCCCCCCGTTAGAAGTCGCTCGAGTAATAGCATTAAAAAGGAAAGTAACCTTTAGCACCTATTCTCGTACATCTACCGAGGTCTGAAGTACTAATTTATGAAGTTACTTCTTCTGTTTGTCATCTCTCAGCCTATGTGGAAGTGAAAGAAACAGCACGAGGATTGGTCAATACCGTCTCTTCCGCTATTTAAGTTTATGAGGGCAAGGTTATAAAATTCGCCACCAAAGACCGAAAAAGGGAGTGTGTACGCATAAATGCTCTTAACCGCTGAGCCACGACGAATACTCTCGATCTCGGCATACTTTAAAAAAATGCAACCTACACCCACCGCTACTGTACCTAATCAGGAGACCTTTACAAAAACTATTTTTAACTCCTTAAGGAAAGAGAGAGTCAGAACTGAAAACAAAGTTACCGCGTTTTTTTTTATTCGTTGGTTAATTTTATCGATGATCTGTAAGAGACTATGATAACGGCAACCGTTCCTGATAGTATTCCGAGATTTGCCTAAATAATTAGCCTCGGTATTAAATTCGACGCTGCTGCCATATTCCAAACCGATTCCTTAGGTTGTTTAAGCTCGTTTTTCTTGCTGATTTAGGAGCATGGTCATGTTATCTTGCGGTTGTGGGTTCATTTCCTGGTCTCAAACATCTCCAAGCATTTCTTGAATTCTTCTTTAAAGCATCTCCGGGAAACAGGATGTGCTCTCTGTCGATCTTCTCGCGGTATTCTCCACACTTTTTTGCCATTGAAAACTCTACGACACTATAACGCGACACTTAATATTTTACGTGGGGTGAGGTATTTGAAAAAGCAAATACAACGGTTTTTCTGGTGCAGACAATAAGTACGACATAGAAATGTTTTTTTTGTTACTCTAGAGTGTTAGTTTAAGTTGAAAATTAGGGTTAGTGCTACATTTCAACCAATTAGTAGTTCAGGTGCACTTTGTAAATACCATTAAAAACCAGCCTACTTTTAATTATGAGCGGAAAGTTAAACGCTTAACGATATTCTGTTAAGGCATCCGGTTGGAGATTTTAGAGGTAAATTGTTTATGAACGATAATGTTTTTAAGCGTATGCCCAAAAAAAGCAGTTTTCAAGAAGTTTAATGGATGCAGCGCCAACGACCCAAAGAGATCGGACGCAGTCAATGTCAGACTTCTCATGTTCGTGCGTGGCGATATTAAAACAACTAAAACAGAAAAAGCTTGAATAAGAGATGGTTGGGAAATAGCAAAACGATCGGATTATACATTACTCAAGGGACCAACATTTACTTCCTCTAAAATCAAAGTGCAACATTTAAAAGGGTCAAAGGAGAGATAAAAACTTAAACAATGAACTCATGTTAAATTTTACAAAAAAGCAACGCACCCTGAAGAACAGATACAGTTAGGTAAGACTTAGAATCAGAATCACTCTGTCTTTGAAATGATAATACTAATAATTTGTAGATAAATATCAGCTTAATGGAAGTTATATGACTCTGCATGTTTAGAAAATGGCAGGTCTGAGATGCAGTCTCCTTAGATAAGTAAATTTGGTAAAAGGACCTTATCTTGTGCTCCTAATATAAATATACCTTAAAATCTAATATACATCTCTATAAACCTTACGTTATATATCTTCACAGCTTTTTGTTCCATGCGCTTCCTAAATGCAAGGTAACCGCAAGAACTACACGTAGAAAAGTGTGTCATTAGCATGAGTTAAAAATTGCTTGCTTTCAGTGAAATGGGGAAGGAATAAAACTCGGAAAAGACCAGACAATCGTACTTAGGGGGAAGGAGGGGGAGAGGGAGAGAGCAAACACGTAATTGTCAAAGATTAAGAAGAGAGCAGCAGTGTTAAAACTGTTAATGCTCATATCCCTTCAATTAGTACTTTTGGTTCAGTCAAAATATGGCCTACCAGGCAAAAACTGTAGCCGTGGCCCTGAAGTTGTTTAACAAAAAAATTACACACAGTACATATACATAAGATACACTAGCCTTTATAAATCTATAAAATAATAAGTTTGACTTATTTAGGAGCCCTTTATGTCCAGTACAACGTTGAAAAGAATAGATAGCAACTTATTGAGACCATACAAGTAACCCTCATCAATTCCGTCCTAATTTTAGTAAAAGAATGACCAGTAAATATGTCAACCAACTATACATAAAACAACTTTCTCTTGTATAGCACAAACATGAGAAAAGTCGATTAAGCGAACTTCCACTTTTTCAGCTGATTCTATAGTATAGATTTTATAACTATACAAGTTAATATATAATTTAAAAATTTGTTCAAATACCCTTAAGTTTTTTTAAAATACAAAATACTGCCGAATAGGTCTTTCCTTTTTTTGGTACAATATAAAAACCTTTTAGTTTGTACCATTTTACGGAGTTTATACGATAAATACTCGTTGCTATAGACACATACTAACGAAATTAAATATGGGCAGAATAAAAGTTCTTGCCAGAGCAAGCATCGCCTTCATAAATGATTAATATTGAACTCGAATAGAAGCGATACAGGTGCTGCCGTTTAAAAAAAGCTTGAACCTAGAATGGGCAGATACAAACAATTATTATGTCACAAGGTTAATAAAACGAGAAGTAAAAATTAAAACTTGTTTAAATCGCAAGGTGCAGGTGCTATACTATTATATAATCGTTCTTATAATATATATATCAAGAAAACTAAGCAGCGTTGTTATCTACTCAATGATGCCACTGATTCACCGCCGCTCCACAGAGCATAGTTTAAATTTACAATAAAAAAATTAACAAGAATTAACAGTTAAAAAAGATACGCTTCGAAGTTTCTCTATCAGAGTCTCCATGAGTTTCACTTTTGCTTGGAGAGAGCCACTTTCAAATAATCTCCAAGTAAAAAATGTAAAATATTATAATTAGGAAGCTTATAAACGATAAAGAACGAATATTGTAAACATTTATAATATCCTTATAAAAAGACGAGCGCAGTTACATTGTAAACATAAATAAAGGTTATACTTCTGGAATAGTAACAGGAAGTACGAAAGTAAAAGTAATTTTATCTTTTAAAAGGCTATAAATATGATTTAAAAGGTTCTATATATATAAAAGCATCGGAACGCCAGAGCTAAACAATGGCCCTGACCTTAATGAAGAAAATAAATTAAATTTACTTAATTACAAAGATTAAAAAGCCATTGATTCCTTACATATTCTAGAAGTTTAATTTTTAAGAATTCATATATAAAGTGAAGCTTTAAATATCTATGTTTACTACATGGCGGAACAAAGGACATAAAACAAATAAAACAAGAGAAATAGTATAGTACAGAAGTTCCGTTAACCCCGTATCAAGTGTCTAAAATGTTTAACAAAATATTTTGCCCATAAATAATAATAAACCCGCTGGAAAAAAAAAGTTTAAAGGCGTCAAAAAATTTTTCAATAGTCAATAGATATCCAAAAGTGCGCTCGTAAGAGTCGTAAGTTTCCGTTTTCGGATTAAAGATCTTTAGGTAAAAAGCAAAAAACATAAATGTGATAAACAAATCAACTATAAACCTTCATTCCAACAAAACGAAAGCCTGATTCACTTTGAATTGGATACTTCGTTTCCTTCGTACAAAAGACAATTCATAAATAATTTCCTTATACATGTATCCAACCTCCACTTAAACGCTTTATGCTAAGTACTAACTCTGTGCATTCAATAACTAGTACAGGCTCTAAAGTATTCTTTTCTCTGAAATGGTTGATTTCTCTATAACACTTGGTGAATATGAACCTCCTTATTTTTTTTTTCCAAAGGAGCGTCGGGTTCGTAAGTCTGTCTTCCCATTTTCAAGTCTACGATACAAGGCTTCTGAAAACTAGACATATGACTTACAAGTATAACTTAAATTATTGGTAAACAGGTATACCCTGCTGCTGCATTTTCCAAAACTATATAGCTCATTATTTTTCCGTCTACCTCAACTTTCTTAGAGGCAAAAGAAATGAGAACATAAAGGATGGATTTGGGACGATAAAAGGTTACTCTTTCTCCGTAAAAATGACTAAGAAAAGAACGAAGCAAAAAAAGATCTTCATTTTTGTTATTCTTGTCATAAACTTCAACGTAAAAATCTAGTTCCTAAGAGGATGTTTTTCTCAAATGTTAAGTTAACAGTTTAAAGTTAAATATAACAATTTATGTAGATTTACCCTTTGACCTCTTCCACTAGGTTGTAAAGGCTTTAAAATTTTATTGCCTTGAAGTTATTCAAAGCAAATAAGATTTTAGACTGTCATATCTTTAAAAGTAGTTGTTACCGTCTACAAGCATACCAAAATTTCCCGAATTTTTTTGTCCGTGACCTATCGAAATAAAGTTAATTGCCGTTAAAAGAAAAAAGGATCTTGAACTAATGTGACCTCCAACTTGGTAAAAAAAGTGCTGCATCTTTCATTAAGGTCTAGAATCTACCAAAGAAGATTTTTTTCTTATCGCTTAACACAAATATAAGTAATTCAAATAACAATAATAGTACATTTTGAAAAAGGTGTATAAAATAAAAGCCTGCATAGTTACCGTAAAAAAACACCTAAACTTTAGAAGCATAACTTCGAGATTATAAAAGAAAGTTAAGAAAACTTTTCGATAATACCACCTTTTCAAAGCCGTCAAAGTAGTGTTCTATCGGTTAGCATAAGAGGAGTTACATTTTGACCAATAGAAAACCCTCCAAACAACTTTTTAAAAGTTTTTCTATTTTTATAAATTCTATGGACGAGCTTTGCTGAATTGCCGATAAGTTTGCAAAGAAGAGTAGAGACGAAAGAGAGGTAGAGGCTTATTATTATAGGGTATATCTACTTTAAAAAATAGTAAAAATATATCTTAGAGGTTACGAAAAATTGATTTTTTGCAACCTGCTAATTCATTGAAGCCTAAACAGTAAAATATAATACCTTCCTTTCCACACGTTCAGCCCCTTGTTTCAGTACCGATCCCGGCACTCGAGCTCTCAGGAAGTATAATCACCTAAAACTATAATACACGTTGTGGTTCCATGTACACTAAAATCTTCCGGCGAAACTTCGAGGGGGAAGCGGTTTGCGCGACTAAACTATTTATTCGGAAAGAGCGATGGTATTGCGTTTAAAGATTGTTAGAGCGTCTCTATTATAGTAATCGGAGGACATTATTGCCAGCGAGATATAGGCCTCAGAAGCAGAGAATATGACATTAAGTCCTCGCTTGTTATGCAACGAAAGCTTGCTCTTGCGGCACGGTTAAAGACAGAACTTAAAATAACGCCTTGACCTTTGCCATGGCTATTTAGGGTCGAATACTTCAAATCTTCATACCATACTGAATCAAACGCTAGCTTGACATAGGTAAAGGACCTGCTGCCCTTGCTCATGAACGGTTATAGACCTCTAAAGATATCCATTTAAACTTTAATAATTCATCGCGCGCATCAATCCCAGCCTGTTTCGGTCGCCTTATCTGGTGTTTAATAGGTGCAGACACATAGCTGGATCTTGATGTTTTACGACAGTCTCCATTTTACGAATGCTAGAAAGTAGAAGGGCACCATCAAGTTTAAGAAGTAACACAGATAATCCATAGCTAATGTCAAAACAGAGTTTTACAGCTCGTTGGTAACTATAGAATATAAGCTAAGCTTGCCGTCTCTTGCGTTACCAGGGAAGCACAGCTTAAGAGTCAAGGATTAAAGGCATCGTTTCCTCATACCATTCTTTTCAACAGTAACCCCCACAGCCAATTGCCTGTCTCAAACAAGCGCTGTATCCAAATTTTATTTGTACAAGATGGATAGCATCAACATAGTCATTAGCCCCCTGCAACCGTTATAACCCAATCTAAGATTATAAAAGTTCTATGAGATAAAATACGCTAAACTAATCGAAATTAACGTAATAAATATCAAAAACTTATTTATAACTATAAATAAAGCAAACCAATGAAGATTATAAGATCAGAAGAAAATATAAAGAGCAGTTATGCGTAAAATTAATTTATAAGAGCAAATACAGAAAAAATGAGAATTAAAGCAGAACAGTCAAGAATAAAAGTAGGGCGCCGCTTTATTAAAAAAAATATAACAACCATTAGGTGGAAGGCTTGCTATAAACCCATCCTGGCAATGTAATTCCTCTTGCCTGCCAAATTGAAAATAAGACTGACTCTTTAACTCAGCAGCCTCTAACAGAGAAGAAGAGAGTAACGATCAATTTACTGTCTGTAGAAGAAGGGTATTTATACAATAAGGAAGTAAGACTAACTGTAGTACAAAATTTAAAACCCGTGCGATGTCACGTGAATAAGCACGTGATGCCCGACCTCTCCTACCCCTCTTTAAACCTTTACATGAATGATCTCTTTAACTCAGTGAAAGGAATACAAGTACTTCGTGTCAGGAACAAAATAAGGCGGTCCAGAGCCTCCTGTACATTTACCACTTGGTATGAGCACGTTAATTATCAAAGTAAACTTTAACAAAAGTGTAAGTAGACCTTGAAAAACAAACCTATATAAAATTTAGACAATAAACAAAATAAATATGGTATTTTTAAAGCATGTACATGATATGTAAAACGTGATCCACCTCTCTGAGGGACTGTTTAAAAAACCTAAGCGTACCAAAAATAGAAAAAGTAAAGGTAACTGATAAATTTATATTCTCCAATTTCTGTAAAAGTTTCGTAAATCATTACAAACTGTTATACAATTGTTTGTCTTTCAAAAATTTTTAAATGGTTACCAAAATACAAAGCTTTCTTCTTGTCATATCCAGTCAAGAGAATGAGACCTATGAAACATATTTATAAGGTAACTCAATATAAATAAATCGACCATTAGCTATACAAGTCAGCATTAATCTCTTGCGGTTACTATCTTTATTTATAAAAAGTTTTGTGAGGAATGAACTTTACTATAACCGATCAGTTAAGACCTGCTACCTTTATAATTGATTTTTGGCTACTCAAGAAGGGCATCCTCCTTTGAGTGTGAGGAAAATCTTAAAAAAACTAACATCAAGGGCCCTCAATTATTAATTCTACAAATCTTTTTAAAAATCTTCGGTAAGGCACATACACTTCCTTTGCTAAAGCCTTCCACCAAGATATTTTGCATTTCTAATGAACTTTGCTTAGAACAATTTTTTTTTGCTACCCTTTTTTAGCATGAACTTTACATGTTCGTTTTAAATCCAACCGTCTTATCCAGTTAAAAAGGAGGTTGTGCAACTGCAGCTTCTTTGCCAGGGTATTATTAATAATTGTTGATAAACTTTTATATAATACTAACCCATGTGTTTTCACTTTTTTACTTTGAAAAGTCTTAAAAAAAGCACATCTGTTTTGTTGGTTGGTCCTATTCAAACAAATTTAGCTCCTTAATTTGACAAAATATCACCAGTCATAGTGACGTAATATGTTCTTGTTAATAATACTCTTCCCCTTCGTACCACCGCCAACTAAACTAAAACTGCGCTATAGTGCTCTCAGTAGAACACTTGCCTGGGAACCTTGAAAATCTCTCTTTAAGCTATAAAAAGTTTAATAATAACCTTAATTTAAGATTTCACAACTTACTTTGTTTTGAAACCCTTTTAGCCTCCACTTGTAACGTATCAAAGAAATAATGTTACTTCTACCAAGACGATGGGCTTGCTAAAAGAAATATTAATAAAATAAATATATAAATATGTATAACTTTATTAATTATGAAACAAGTAAAAAAAACAGAAAAGAACAGAGTGCAAAAAAAAAGGTCCTACCATAAAGAAAAAGAAACACAACTTGAACTTTCACTTGAGTGGCGCAGATGGATGTATATATTTGCAAAACCGTGCACCTTTTCGAGGGCTAAAAGATAAGGTGGGAATAGAAAACAGATGCCAGGTGTTAGAGCGTCCACAAAACCTTTGTCTTACAAATTATACTAGTCTTAATTCCCTAAAAACTTATTATTAGTAGAGAAATAAAGGCTCTGTTTCAGTCAACGTAAAGAATATCAAATACCAAGAGCTTGCCTAACCTTCTTACTTTTACCGGCGTATTAAAAGCCATAATTGTGAAGGGCACCAGACAGGTATTTACTTTAAGGGTAGGTTTTAAATGTTTTGAAGTCCTTTCTTAAGTGTTAAAATAGGATTTTAAAGTAAGGTTTTAACTATAGTCTGTCTACAAGGTTTTCTTCAAACCAGTATTTACGCGGTTTTTATTTTTAATCCAAACTATGCGATCCTTCTTTCAATTGCTAGGCCGTAGATAGTAAACAAGCAAGGGTAAAACACCCAGCGAAAAACTACAAGTAAAAAAAAAACGGAACTAAAAGAGTGATAAAATAAAAATTTAAGCCGATACAAAGCACAAACAAAAACAAAAAAATATAAAATTAAAAAAAAAAAATTGCCAAATTTAGAATAGTCTCCTCAAAGCCAGGTTGTTCAATGAGAAAAATTCTTGTAAAAAAAATTTTTAAAATCCTTTTAAAAACAAGGAAGCTCATTAGCCAATCTCCAAGTTCATTAGCCAACAGTATACGAAATTTTAGTAGTAAAGAGAGGAGTAACTAACTAATAAATCGGGTCTCTTTAGTAATTCTTCTTTATTTAATTTTATTAAAGAGAAAAACTGATTTATTAATCGTTAAATTTTATATGTATACAAAAAAATTAATAAATTAAACACACGTGGTTAACTAAAATGTATCTAAATTGTATGCTGTAAGAAGATCCTATAGTTGACACTAAGGAAAACTGAATTTTGGAGCTATCCGAACACTCAATTGTTCAGTTCGTTTCCGTACCCCATCACTGTAAATCCGTTCTTACTATATATCGAAAAAAATAATTTATATAGGCAAGAAGCTAAAGCCTGTTTAGCTATTCGTGAAGGTTGCGCCTTTTTTGCAAGTTAACAGAAAGATATTGTGTATTTAAATAATTTTAGCAGGTCAAACTGCAGACCGCTTTTTAACGCGTTATCAATATTTAAGGTTCAACTTATTGGAGTGTCTTGACGTCTCTAGTTTGCTTGACATTCTTGGTATAGACGAATGAGTTGTAAGAGGAACTTTAGCTCGAGCTATATATCAGATAATAACTAAGCCCTAAATTCATTTAAGATCAAGAATAGGAGAGCGGATTAGTACTGGATTGTTGCTGGAAGTCGTACAGGTAAAAAAGGGGCGAAACACCAGTGAAACAGTTAATTTGTTATAGTAGGTAGGCTCTATCAAAGTTTGTAGAAAAGTGTATGTTTAAAAGGATATTAAATATAAGGATTAATTAAGTATATAATATTAATGTGCACAGTTACGTAGAATAATGTGACAATAGATTGGGAATATTTAATGCAAACGATGCTTCTAAATATGGACGTTCTTGTCTTAATTTAAAATGTAAAAGAATTTAAACAATGCTAGATAATAATATAAAATGTATATATAAAGCAAATACTAAATTAGAATAAAACACACTTTCTTTTATTTTTTACTCTTTTAATTTTAACATTGTTGGTGTTCGTGAGTACATTTTTTGTATTCTTTTATATATCCTCCCCTTTATTTTAACAAGTAAATATATGAAATACAAATTATAAAGCCATTAAAGG